TCCGCTAATTATTTAAGCATACTTGTTGATATATCTTTTATAATTAAAAAGTTAAGTTTAAATTATATAAACACAAATTGGATTTTAAAATCATTAAATTTTTCTAAATTTTTTTTATTATTTTTAAAGTTAAATTAATTCTAAAAGCATATTGTTCTATATGAAAGGTATAAAATATAAGTAATAATCATAATTTAAAGCAGAAATATATCACTATACAGTTGCATGAATCTATTAGTTTTTATATAAGTGTGTGTTTAATTAAATGTTTTAAAGTTAAATTCTGGTAGTATTATAATATGTTATTGAAAATAAGAAAAAAAAATTATTAATTTTCTAAGAATATTTAAGATATGATTTTTAAAAAATTAACTTATAAATTACTTTATTTATTTATTTTTTTGCTAACCTTCAAAAATTACTTAGATATATATCAGTAATAATATAGTAAGTTAGCAATTATTTCAATTCTAAGATTAATTATTTTTTCATTTATGAGTGGAAGAAACAATGAGAATAATCACAATGATTTGCAATAAATATTCATTTCTATCAATTCTTAAAAATCCCAGATTTAAAGTCAATAATAGCTTGAGGAAAAACTTTAGTCAAGGTCTCTTGGTAATCATTCTGTTATATGTTTACATTAATAATTTTTATTAATGTAAACATAAAATTAATTCCAATTATTTTAATAATTAAAGTAACAAATCTATGAATTTTAATAAAAACTAATTATAACTTATAGTTTTAATACATTTGTATTTAATACAAAAATTGTTTTCTAAATAAATACAAACTTTCTGTAGTTAGTAAATTAAACAGCAGTATGATTTCTTATTACAGAATACATCTTTAAACAACATAGTTGCTAAATTATTGTATACAAAAGCTAATTACTTACAATATAGAAACAAGAGACTGTACAAAGAAATGTCATGTATATGTAGTATTGCTACCTGTCTTTATTTGGTTAAGACAGTCTTTCCTTCAGTTGAAATCTTTTCAACCTTATTTAGTGATAAGATGTTCTTCTTAACACCAAAATAAATTTAAAAGACAAAAAAATGTTGCAGCTAGTATTGACTGCTAGTGTTTCTAGTGTTAGCTTGTGTATATTATCAAGTGTTTCTCAATCATATTACAGAGAAGATTATCAAAACAGTTTGTCTGGGAGATGTCGCAAGACGTTTTTAATGCACCACAAACGAATACCTGTGTGTGTGTGTGTGCATTAAACGTGGGCTATAACCCCGAACTTCCTGCCAGCTGGATGTCCAAGCAACCATTATTATCATTATTTTGAAAATCTAAAAGATGGCAACCCAATGTATATGGAACATATAAAAAAATACTGTTAAACACACCAAAAAAACGTAATAAAATTCTTGTTGTGAAGGATATTATGACATTTCTATAATTAAAAAATAATATATTTCTTTTTATAATTTACAAATATCATAATTATTAAATACGTATACAGTATGTATTAATATATACACAGTAAAAACAGTAAATGTTTTTATTACAAGTGCATAAATAATAAACTCGCCAAAACAAACCAATACAAACAACATTTACTTCAATTATCTTTGGGAAAATAGCCAAGTTTTCTTAAATTATAACTAAATATTTCGCAACTATCGTAAGGAAAATACATCTATAAACATCGAAACAAATAATAAACATCTGACAAGTTTTATTCAAGGCAATAAATAATTTACCATAATTGCTTCGTTACATTTAATATTAAAATTAGATTTGTATTCAAATAAATTTGTATAATTTATGTAAATTATATATATTAAAATTTAACTTGGATAAAATTATTATAGGGCCTGTAGGAAAGTCTAAATGTGATTAAATATATTTATTATTATTACATTTTAATGATATTTTGTGGATTTGCCATTTTAAAAGCTGTACGATAGTTGTTTATTCAAAGCTTAAAAAAAAATTGTATTTTTCCATTATCATTTCGATCTATTTGGCACAGATAATAATATAATATTTTATATACAGAAAGTCACGCAATTGCTTTTACCTTGGTTATAGCAGATGTAGTTGTTTAATCATTTTTAAATAATTTAAATGGAACTTGTTTGAGTAAAAATTTATAATTTAAAAACTGTCCTAATTATAGTATTGTTCCTAATTGCTCTATATTTGTAAGTGTAAAATAAGTTATGTCTAGATATTGCATTTTCGTATGATTCCAAATTACAATTTTAAAACATATAATTCACAATATATCCAGTACAATTACATACATATTGTACTTCGGAATACATTATAATAAAT